GTACAATGCACATACAACACATAAGTATTTAATTCTATTTAATTATATTATAATTTTTTAATTGAGAGAAGAGAAAATATTATTTAAATTTTTAAATAGAATAATAGTAGAGAAAAAAACAGTTATATGATATAAGAATTAATATTGAATGTTTTTTTAGATTCTCTTAATGTTCTTTTTTTAATGGGATTATATATAATTTTTTTTAAAAAAATACTCCCATTAATTACTAAACACAATTTTTAACTTAACTTTAATTACTTAATTAAATTTTTTTAATTAAAAATTATTATAAAATTCAAGAGTTGATAAAAAAATAATAAAAAATTTAACCTGTAATATAAAAAATTAAAAGAAAAAATTCAAGCAACGCGGACAAAACAAAAACTAGTTAATTCTAAATCTTACACCCAAAATTTTTCGTACCATTTATAATCATCTCCTTCCACGTTTTTTCTTATGTCTTCTTTTTCTTTTGATTCTTACAACTTCTATCTCTTCTTTTCATCATTCTAATATTCCACACAAAAAAGTCAAAACTTGAGAAAGAAAAACTTTTAACACGAGTCAATAACAAATACATATTTGATTCTTTTCAGATGCAAAATCGACAAGAACAGTTCACTTCAACAGTTATATTCCATTTGAGCCTTCAGCTTCACCAAAGAAGAATGGTTCTCATAATCCAAGACTGGATGAAAAAGATTCATGTGATCAAATGTATCGAGATATGGCATCTTTCCTGTTAGACATTGTCAATCAAGAACTGATATTCGAGCTGAAGAAATTACAGGCAAGATATATTGATGATTGTTATTCTGCTAACTGAATTGACATTCTCCTAAAAGGGTACAAAGAATATATATAATAAATGCATAAGCGGAAAGCCTAATCAGTTTGTAGTATTAAAAATCACAAAGAGTGCTTGAAGATTTGCATCTTAGAAAGGAGGATGCACCGTAGGAAAAGGTAGCTCGTAGAACCTGGTATTTATCCTGCACGGGTCACACCAAAGGCTGCTGTTCGGTACCATGCAGCTGCAGCCATTGCACCTGGGTCTGGAACAGATGCAAGGATTTCTGCAGAGACATAGGTTGATCACCCAGTCTGCATGAGCTATGTTCTGATTCCCCAGTTGTGCAAAAGATAAAAATATAATTATTTAAAAAATATGAAAGAGAACTTGTAGGAAAAGCACCACATGTTGATATGGTGTTAACTGTTAAAATGTCAATGATGATTACAAGCTGCTGCCAGTCAATTGCGTTAACATGTCTAGTATACTGAGTATACACTAAGCAGCTAGCCTGTGGTGTGAACATGTCAAGTAGTATTTAGATATGAAACACCATCACAAGTAGCTGGTCAACTAGCCTCTATAGCATAAGAAACCCATCATGTACCATAAAATCAAAAATAAAAAATAAAGAAAAACATCTGCCTTCATATGCTTCCAAACACTTGTATTTTTAGTTTTCCAATAACACTATTTCGTTTTTCTCACAATTTAGTTCACTATGCTATACATGATCCTTAGCCCAGGCTAGATTAGACTGGGAAAGCAAGAACCATTCTTAAAACGTAAGTGCAGAGAAAGAAGAGGATCAAATGCAGCATAAACGAATGAAAAGGTTACCTGTGCCAGCATGCTTTTAGTTGATTCAGCTCCTTTCAATGCTGCTTCAGATGAAAGAACAAAAGCTGTGAATGGATCATCACCAGCACTTATCCTCTGCTTGCAGGATATGATATCAGTACCTGAAAAGGATATATATCACCAAAAAGAAATGAGTCAAATGACTAAATGAAATGTCTAGGAAAAAAAAATTAAAAAAAAAAAATGGAAAAAGAAAAAAGAAACCAAGTGGTATAGTGGTTTGGCAATTTCAATCGAAGGACCTGAAATAAAAAGAACAAAGATAAATGATCATTGTTGATAACCTCCTTCAGAACTGCTGATGCTGGAATAAGGGCATCTAATAATTTACATAACCAGCATTAGCACAGCCATATTTGCCGACTGCAGAAACAGCAGCATCAAGTGCCTCAGCCCCTAAAAACAAGGAATGCATTCAATAAATCGTTTCATGCTTAAAAGAAAATCAGATGAGGAGATAAGTCTCATAATGTTTTGATGTGACATTTGAACCAGAGTTTGCTATCAACTGTGCATATGCTGCCTTACAAAATATGTTGTATCTGTTTTAGAAAAAAACCCAAGTAAATATTTCACTTTCCTGGTCATCATATAAGTGTTACTAAGTATAGAGCAAGAGCTAGTTTAATATACAAGATTTCACTTTTCCCCTTCCATGATTCTTCTAATAGACAACCCAATTTCATTCACTGTCATCCACTAGTAGTGTTTGAGCATTTTGGTGCAGGATGCTACATCCTATATAATGAATTGAAAAAGGAAAAACTTTCTTCTGAGAACCAGTTTTCAATAATTTTTCTATTTAAGAATAACAAACACATTAAAAGGAAGAAGAGGAGATATAATATCCATACAGAGATCAGACCTTTCAGCAAAAGAGAAAGCAAGACTACAGTGAAATTTTGAAAATTCCATAAAAGAAATGAATGAACAAATAGAACCAAAAGGGAGACACTCATCACTCCAAATTCTCTGACCAATGATGCATGCTAACTAATTCATAAAAGGTCTGGGACAATAAGAATCACAAGTTAAAGTGATGAAAGTTTGGGCCATTTTTCTCTTTCTGACCATAGATGAAAGTTGTAGTTATATGAATTTTGCAAAATGAAAAATTAAAACATTGAAATTCATAGGTTGATTCCGTACTCCAGATGTCTGAAATATATTAAAAATCTAGATGTCCTTAAAATAACATTTGGACATGTTCACTAAGAGAATTAAAGCAGCATGATCATGCATAAATGTTTCTTTCAGATTTCTATCTTAATTCAGCAATCAAATACTATAAATATCCCATCTACATCAACTCAAAAAACAGAATTCAAGTTTCATTCCAATATACTTAAGCCTAGTCATAGTCACCAATACTAGAAAGTGAACTTATTGAAATCATTTCTGAATACAAAATTCTCTAACTTAGAGTAAGCAATAACCAAATCCTCACATTATGCTTCAATAATGTCGAAAGTTCAAATCTAAACCCAAATTAGAAGCTAAAATCGAAAACAGAGGAATAAAAACACTCAGAAATCTCCATGATAGCAGATTATAAAATTAAAATTAATACGATACAGGAAAATCAAGGCTGAAGATGAAATAGAGAGAAATGAGGAAGAAAATGGCGAACCGTTTTAGGGTCGTTGATGAGTTTCTTCGGCTGAAAAGCCATAATCGGAAACAGATATTCAGGGGAATTTTTTTCTTTACTAACCCTAGCATTCAGAATTTACATTATATCCCACTAATATGAAGTCAAACCGCGTTGGAGCCCTTATGGAAGCTCTCCGGCGCCTGTTTGGGAGTCTTTGGTACCCCATACTCAGAAACTGGTTTTCAGGTGAATTGCGACTGTGGTAATTCAGGATTTGGGATTTTGGCCTTCAATTACCAAAATGTACCCACGTTCAGTCATTTTGGCAAACCATATGTTAAGGCCTTGAACTAACAAAATTTTTTGTACACTAGCCCCTCTACTAGTTTTTAGGCAAATAAATCCCTAAACTAAACTCATGCGGAGTAGGGAACATAGCCAATACGAGTGCGTGGCACGGTAGGGTACGCTAGGGTACCCTGTCATGCAATATTCTTGGTATCAAAAGACATTTGCCAATTGATCATTGTTGCCGATTCGTGTTGACTTCTTTTTTCTTTTTTTGGCAATAGTGCTGTGCCAACATAAATTTCATTGACCAGTTGTTCTACCATCAAACCTTAAATTCAAAACAAAATTCTCCATAATAATATTTATAATTTTAAATATATTATGCAATTAAGTAATGTCAAACCAAATGTAAAATGTAGAAAATAAAATAAAAAAAAAATCAAAAGAAGCTCGTTATTTCAAAAAAATAAAAACAAAGAAAATAAATATATTTTGACAAACAAGAGGCACCCTTTGATATCAATGGCAATTTTATCTTTTTTATTATGATATTCTAAGTTATTACTTATCCTATCATTACTTGTTGATTTAGCATGATAATTCAACTATTAAAATAAGATAAAATAGAGTCAAATAACACCCACATGTTAAAAATAAACTGGTTAGTTTCAATTTAGTCCTAATTTAGTTAAAATAAAAATAAAATTAGACAAACTATAACTAATTTAACAAAAATCAAGCAGATGATCTTAGAAAATTCATGGCCATAGAATGCTTAGCTATAATATGGTTTCTCTTTTTCTTTTCAAAACTCCTCCCCTTGCCAAAATGGTCTTTCAACTCACAGTTATTGATACTTGTTAAGGGGACAGATCCCGTTTATCGCTTTGGGCGTATCGCCTTGAGCGTTATGGGCTATTGTTTATTTGTTCTCGGGGAGGCCTCCATAGGGATCCAACCCTGGATCTCTCTTAAGAGACTTTGCGGGTAACCCTTGGTACCACTTGAGTTGATCTCCTAGCACCCAAGGCAATACGCCCAAAGCAATAGGCGGGATCCGTCCCCCTAGCAAAAAGGCCGATTGATCAACTCAAATAGTACCAAGGGTCACCCGCAAAGTTTCTTAAGGGAGATTCAGGGTTCGACCCTTGAGTAGACTTTTCCTAAAAAACAAATAAACAATAAGTCTTAACGACCAAGACAATACCCTCAAAGCGACAGGCGGGATTCGTCCCCTAACAATTCTGTTATCAGAGTAATGATTACAATCTTCTATAAAGTTACTTTTTTGCTTGAGGTAGGAATGGAGCTTGACTAAAACTAAAGTAGCGGCGAAAAATCTTTTCGGGGCTAATTGATTAAAATGAATTTTTTGGAGGACAAATTAATAAAAAAACATTTATATTTTAATGGTTTCCAATTCTTTTCTTTTTTCTGGGGGGCGGGGGCCATGGTCCCCTATACCTGAGATGCAACTAAGCTCCACTCCATCCTTAACCGGAAGGCGTATTTCTTGAAACTTTAGGTTAAAAGTTTTTGACTTAGAGATTGCTGAAGAGAGAGATTTGATAAAAAGGAGTATTATTCTTTATTACAACTCAACATGAGATGTGCCAAGAGAAAAAAAAGGGCAAAGGATTTCATAGGAAAAAAAATAATGACATACGTCAATTCTCTTGCATGTTTATCTTCTTCAATGCAAGTAAAAAGATTACAGGGGCAGGAAGATAATGTTGAGACTGATGAGACATCCTGCTTTCTTGCCTCGTTCCTTCTGTCATCATTGAGATACAAAAGAAATGAAAGTTTACATGGAGAATCCAAAGCCGTATATCATCAATGCAAAATAAAATATTGATTGTTCTGTTTCAACATAGAAGTGTTGAATCTTATTTAGCCACACCGTTTCTTTGATGATCTACTTCAGCAGAATGCTTCAAGCAACTAATTCATCTCATTTTTATCAGAGAACATGGTATTCTCACTGCACTACCTACTAACCTTATAATCTACGATTTAACCACTCGATTATGTCATTCACAACAGCTTCGCTTTCTAGTTCAAAGAGGAGATCGTGTAGGAACCCTTCGTATAATTCGATAGTTTTGTCAGTTGAGGATGCCTCTTCATACAGTTTTTGAGAAGATTTAGGATCAGTTATGGTGTCAGCAGTGCCATGGAGAACAAGGAAAGGAACTCTCAACCTTTGTAAATTCTGCTGTAAGAAGGATGTGATTCGGAGGATTTCATAACCAGTTCGTACCCTGATAGCTCCTGTGTAAACTAGGGGGTCTGAATACTTGGCCTCTAATGCCTCTGGATCGCGAGAAACTGGCATGCCCTTCTTATTTGCAGCACTAACTTGGAACCTTGGCAACAAAAATGACACAACTGGGGCAAGTACCTATCACCAATGAAAGCAGATAAGGAGAGGGTATTAAAAGAATTTGAGAGATATATAACTAAAAATGAGATACACTTACCACAAAAATTGGATGAGAAGGTTGAACCCCTACGGCTGGTGAAGTTAGTACTATACCTGCTACCCGGGCCTCAACCTTGGGATCAAGCACGGCCTACAATTTTTCATGTGAAACACAGTCAAAGGAATGCTGATATATCCCAGGTCATGAAAATACCTGATGATTTAAAATATTGTTGGAAAAACATTTTATCTGGAGCTGGAATATCTTACCTTAAGGACAATAGCTGCACCTGTTGAGTGCCCAAAGCAAAAACATGGAAGCCCAGGATTTTCTGTCAAAACCTTATCAAGGAAAGATTTCTGCAAAAGGTGAATGATGTTTGACTGAAGCTAATATTAATTATGAACATATTCTTGCCCTTGTAAAGGAACTTCAGAACATACCATATCAGCAACAGCATCATCAAGAGAATGAACATATGCATGCAGGCCATCACTACCACCATGCCCTACAAAAGTTTGGGAGAAAATCATTATGAGAACAAATTTAACTAGAATAATAAACTTCAAGGAAAAAGAAGGGTGGGAATTTTTATCAAGGTAAGCCAAAAAAAAAAAAAAAAAAAAAAAAGGACACTACAAAAAGAATGGGAACACATCTACTATGCCCAAAAGGCATGGAAACTAAATTGCCTGTTGCAAATTCCCATAACTTTTCAAAATGGAACAGGAAGGAGCTTAGGGCTTAGATACATTTTTTTTTACTGAACAAAACAAGGTTGGATACAATATGAATAGTATTGCAGAAAATAGAGCTCTATCATCCAGCCATCCAGGATATGCACTGGCATGCTCACAGATACAAGTTCAATATAAGGGGTTGTTCTTTCGTTTTAATTTTCACTGCATTTTATTTATGCCAAAATGAGTAGCAATCAATCAGAATAGATGCATATACTACTAAAAACAAGGTTTGTAATCTGATCAACATCACTTTGTGTTCTGTAGGTCTTTCTTATTACAAACATTAGGAAATAAGCTTACTTATTACCATGAGCTTCACATGTTACTTTTTCGCAGCAATGGGTATCCCAATATTTGAAGCCCTGCAACATCCAATATAGATGCATGGTTGAAAAAAGTAACTCTACACTATCAAACAGAAACAATTGCGTGACTTTAAGGATTATGTGAATGAATTAAGTCAAAATCAGAAGAATTTAACCTAAAAAAATGTACAGGTTAAATTAAACTGGCAACTCCGTTAAAAAATATCACAATTTATGATCAGTTTATGCATTATCCCTGCAACTCCAAGACCTTGTCCATTTTTATCTATCTGTTTTTTCTCCTTTTAGCACTAAGCAGTAGGTGATGGCTTGGGAATTTCCATGATGATAAGGATAAGTTGGACCTGTTCATGCATGCTTTGGTGAGATAGCTGATGCCCATTGCAGAAAAAGAATGAATTAGCAACTTTTTTAGTTCAAATATCTAGTGAAATAAGTTCAAGTTCAAAAGCCTGCTCAAAAATAAAATTAAAAAAAAAAAGAAAAAAACAGAGAGAAAGAAATAGAAAAAGAAAACTTCGAAAGTGCTGATATAGGACTTTAATACTCAGTGGCCTTATGTCAAATCTATTACAGAAGTAAAGCTTTAAATTGTGATCGCTTTTTTAAAGAAAAAAAAAAGATGCCTTTTATTTGTTTGGATGCTTTCTTTTGGCTTTCTTCTCTTGCTTGCATAAGGCTACTATTGCCTTAATACATCAAAATGATGCTGATTGCTGGGGTTGGGACACACTTGTTCAAGGAGGTATGAGCATATACTTGTATTTTTGTAATAGAAAAAATTCACCTAGAGAAGAGTTTATATTCATGAATCTAAGATGAACCTAAACTTTTATCTGTAACTACTTACATGACATTTTCAAGCAACAAGAACACTAAACTAATGCCCTTGGGTAGTTAGTTTAAGGATACCTTCGGACTGTCTCAAAGCTTTCACTATTACTAAGTTCTCATAACCTGGTATGAGTATATGATCTGCTCTTGTTAGACTTTTATTTTCTTCTCCCTTTTTAATTTTCTCTTCTTTTTCCATTTTACTTTTTTTCATTATGATACATGAGATATGTTTCTTGATGAAAATCTGTGTAAAGCTAGAAAAAACGACAAAGAACCATAAACACACATGGCCTCAGTATGGGGGATCACCTATAATGCAATCAGGGCTGTACAGTGCAATATTTATGCTTTATTGGTAAATTATCATGCAATGCAGTACCAAATATACATGGAAATGACTTATTGAATATCAAAAAGTTATTAAGAGGATAATATATATTTTTTTCAATGAATCCATTAAGAGGACAATATAATCTCAAATTTTGTTTCTGCTTCTTTTATGAATTATACAATATTAAGAGCAAACAGAACTACAAATGACCAGAAACACAGAAGACAGCATATTATGAACGAGCATAATAGATGACTTTGGCATATTAAGAAGATGATCTTAACTTACCAATCCAATCCATTCCATAAACCTTGAATCCATTAGCATTCAGCTGCTTTGCAAATGAACCATATCTACCACTGTTGTAAAAAAAGAGGTCAATATTATAAAGTAGGTCAACTTATAGAATCAACTTTATCTGGATCAGAAGCAAAACAACACAAACCTGTGTTCATTCAGGCCATGCAAAAGAATAACCAGCCCCCTGCAAAACCAACGTAAAAGATAAATATTTCAAGATGGAAAATAGCAGGAAAACTAAAAAATGGAAAATGAACAGAAATGAAGAATGTAATCAACACTTTAAAACTGAAAAATGAACAGAAATGAAGAATTTAAGCAACACTTTAAAACTGAAAATGAACACAAATGAAGAATTTAATCAAACAACATGCGGATCTTACTAACTACTACTATGATAATTCTCTCAGTCTGGTTTTGCTTTCACAATCCTATTCAATGGAAGTGCATGCCAAATGATGTGTGTGCCAGGAATAATTATAATGAAATGCCAAAAACATTAGCCGCCAGAAATGATGACAAAGCAAATGGGGGATGTTCCCTCAACTTCCAGTAGCATTTCATAAACCCTTATATTCTAAGGCAAGTGAGACAGGGGAGCGGACCAGAAAATAGATTATGAAATTTCGTGGTCATAGAAGCATTCTCGGGGGCACAGACTGCAGGGTATGAAGGCACTAACACATACCATATTATTCCTCTCTAATGGTATGGTGCACTATAACTTCAGCAGGAGGTAACAGTGGTGATAATGATGTGTTATAAACTTAGAATATGCAGTCTATAACAATATCCTAAGAATGGCTGCCATTTTAATTTCAAATTGTTCAAAATTCCATAGGTATTGAACATTGGAGCTACAAACGATGCATAATACATAATTTCAGAGGCATATTAGAATGCTTATTGCTGCCCCAAAAACATAATTTTGAACTAAAATTCAAATCCAGAACAAAAATATATGAAACCACACAACAACAACTACTTATACAATTAACATTCATATGCTAACTAAAAAAACTTCTTTTTTTTTTTTGGCAGTGGGTGCTGTTCAAACTGGAAAATATATTCTTACACAGTACCAAACTCATTAATTAATTGGCTCCAGTAATTTTGAACAAGAACTCACCTGACTTTTACAGAAACAGGAATCCAAGACTGAGTGAACAACGTATCGCCCCTTGCGGTAACAAATAGATACTTCTCCCGTATCGTTTTCTCGTCTTTATCTTGCATTACCCTCCGAATGGCCAGCGCCCGACGAACGGCCACCTCCTGCTCCAAGGCCACCGCCCCACTCCTCCATGGAACCATCACCGCCGGCACCCGCACCACCGCCACCTTCCTCCCGCTCTCCCCCTTCTCGTCCTTCCCCACCTTGTCACTCGAATTTATCAACGCTGCCCGTTTTCTACCCCGAAAAGGCAAGAGTAGAATCAACACCAGTGCGCTTATGGTGACCCACAGCCTCCGCAACGCTCGTAAGGAAAACAGAGCATTCACCCGGCCGCTTGCACCCGATGTTAATATCAATGATGCGCCCTTCGATCTGGGTGACGGATCCATTGCCAATGGCTTTCCAGGGAACAAGGTTAACAGCTTCAAATCGCAGAATTTGCGGTTAGGGGCTTCTGTTACATAGAATCGAGCAGATTTGGAAGAAAATTTTGGAATTTCAGTTTCTCTAGGTATTGCAATCGTTCTTGTTATTGAACAGATCATAAACAGAGAAAAACCAAATCAAACAAACCAAAAAAATTCAGAACACTTTATGTGTTTACGTCCTAATCTTAATTGGCAATTACAAAAGCGTGAACCAAATTTAGAGCGAAGCTATAAGTGGGTTTTCCTTGGGATTCCTTTGATTGCAGCCTGTTTGGCTTGCGGGAAAATGAGAAAGAAAATAGATTGAATTTTCTTAAACGATAACCTTCCTGATGGGTTGAGGATTATAAGGAATGAGAAGTTCGTCTTTGCGCGTGGTGAGAACCGTTTTGCTGTGTTTGGGACGCAAAAAATGTCTTGGTTCTAAATTTTTTGAATTTAAATTGACGATTGTGGAGATGACACGTGGAAGAGACGTAATGTTTTACGAAATAGAAGAGGATAAAGTGATTACGTGGGAGACGCGTGTCGTGTAGTGACTGGATCAAAAGTTCCGAATATGCGGCGACTGGCGTCTTGGCTTTGTTTTCCTTGGATGGTAGAAAAAGTCAAGACAAGAGAAGAATGAATTTATGGTAACACGACAGGTGGCTCCATGAAGGTTTTATAGTGACACGTGTTATTTCAGAAAATATATTGACCTGGATAAATTTATATATTATAGTGATTTTTTGAAATTAAATTTTAAGATGAATTTATTACAACCATTAATTCTATGAATTTGTATAAAATACACATTTTAATTAATAATTATCATAAATTCATTTTAAAACTTGGTTATAAAGGGTCATTTCAACTATCATTATTCTATTTTTTATATTTATATAAAAATTTTAAAGGTTATCAGAATAGTAAAAAATAGAGAGGACCGTCATTTAAATAAATTAAAATAAAATAAATAAATTCATTTTAAAACTTGGTTATAAAGGGTCATTTCAACTATCATTATTCATTTTTTATATTTATATAAAATTTTTAAAGGTTATCAGAATAGTAAAAAATAGAGAGGACCGTCATTTAAATAAATTAAAATAAAATAAACAAATTGAAAGAAATAAAGCAAAGAAAGGGGGTTTTTCCCTCTATCTCCTCCAATTCTTTTTATCTACACATACACTTGGTACATTCATGTTATATGTATCTCTAAGAAATGAAACTAGCCAAGCTATCAAAACTTGGGCGATGGGGAAAAAGGTAGGTTTTTGGAAGGATAAATGGGTGGGAAAGGGGTCCTTAAAAGATAAGTTTCCTAAATTATTTGCTCTTCCAAACCATAAGAAGGTAGAGGTAGGAGAGATGAGTACATGCAAAAGGAGTGTTTGGTCCTGGGATTTTGGGTGTAGACGTAATAGGATGCGAAGAGAGTTGAGTGAGAAAGGGTTGTTTTTAGAAATGATGGAGAACGTGAAGTTAAGGGAGGGGAATAAAAGATAGGTTGAGGTGGAACCACAATTTTTAGTGGTTTATATTCTGTAAAAATTGCATATAAGAAGTTATCGTCCAACGTCAATTGCTTGATGATAGATTGTGTAAGTTGATTTGGTCTAGGATTGCATCGTCATGAATAAGTATATATTTTTGGATGGAGATTATTACTCAACAGGTAGCTGGCAACAAAAGTCAACTCAACGAGGAAAGGAGTGCCTTTGCATAGAGAGAATTTATCTTATGTATCTTGTAAAGATGTTGGAGAGTAAAATGATCTTGTATTTTGTGAGTTTGTAGACCTCCCTATGTAAGGAGGTATGCCTAGAATTTGGTTGAAAATATTGCAGTGTGGTAGGGTATTAAGGGGGTGTTACTGGGTACCATGGTGGAATTGACAGAATTTTTTCTTTCTATTTTTGAAGAGAGTTTGGGTAGAGGGAGGAAGATGGGGGCTTTATTTTCTTGGGGGTGTAATGGTATTTATGGAGGTGGATGAATTGCATAGTGTTTAGGAATGGGGATAAATAGGGGATGTTAGTCTAGAAATGGTATACATTTCAATGGCTTAAAGGAAAGGTATTAGGTTGCATGTTTAGCTATCAAGATTGGTATTCTCATCCATCTAATTGTGTAGCTGCCATAGCTCAATATCAAAAAGCATTAAAGTCACACAGAAAGGGGGGTGTTGGATAAATGATGGGGTAATTGTTTTAAAATATTTTTTTGAACAGTATTTTAAAATATTCTTTAAAGTTGTGTGTGGCATATTTGTTCAAGATTTTATTGAATTGTTTGGGTTAATGTACCACATATGGTAGT